AAATATTGTTTCAAAACTATTTAATATGTAGATATAATGAAAACAAATATTGTTTCAAAACTATTTAATACGTAGATATAATGAAAACAAATATTGTTTCAAAACTATTTAATACGTAGATATAATGAAAACAAATATTGTTTCAAAACTATTTAATACGTAGATATCATGAAAACAAAAATTGTTTCAAAACTATTTTAATAAGTAGATATCATGAAAACAAATTTAAAAATGTTTTCTTTTGCCCACGGGCAGCCTTAGTACATTTGAATTTCCGATCCGGGTCAACCTTTCCAGTCCCAGTTTGTACCCGCCCGGACGTTGGGTAAATAATGCATGACACCCAATGCAGAAACCAATTATGTACATTTTTCAAATCGATATTCTAACTTTATTCAAATAATGTTTAGATTATTTAGGAAAAAAACATGACGCAAAACATCCAAAATGGCTTTTTTATAAAAATAAAAAAATGGGTTCAAGAATACTGAGAATTATAGGTGCAACCAAGTGGGCGATTCATCCTGAATGGGAGAGGACAAAAATTGTCAAACCTGGGGTGGGACATCCAGCTACCCGCCCCTAATTATTCTGAACGGGGGGGGGGGCGGTTTGTTTAAACGAAGATTTGCAGTGAAGGAGGGCCCACAGGTTAAACAGAGGTGAAGAGGGCAAAATTCCTCATACCAAGCAACAAAAAAACACCTCACATTATATATCACATGGGGGGGGAGGGGCAACCTCCTTCCCAATGACAGTCCTGAATTGTATGTCTAGGAGACTGGTCTATATCTAAATCAATTAAAAAAAGTATTGAGTTTGACACATTTATTATTATAAGAAAAAACATCATTAAGTTTCTATAATGAAGTTATNCAAATCCCTCATATACAGCAAAACAATTTATTTCACCTTACATTATATCTTACACGGGAGTTCCTGAATTGTGTCAAATACTCTGTTTGAAGCAATTAGAAAAGTATTGAGTTTAACAAATTTATTAGTATTAGAAAAAAAACAAGATTTTCATTTGGTTTTCTTAATTGTAAAGATCTCTGCTGTTTTCTTCCTCAATAATTTCTTGATATGGGAACTTCGTGCAGTTACTCTCTTATTCATTCTTAGTAATCTGTTTTCTGTAAATTGTTTTCTTATATCTTCCATCATCTCCAATTATGTGGGCATCGTGAAACCTGAACAATGAACATGGTTAAAATTATGTTGGAAAACATTTATAGAAAATTAAAATTTCTTCATAGAACTTATCAAAAGTAATGTAAAAGATGCGGCTCCCTAGCCGCATGAAACACACGCCCATACGTCACTGCTTTTCAAAATGCGTAACATATTCCTTTAAAGTAAATAAAGATGTTTTAAGTTCAAAACATCGTATATTCTACAAAGTTGCGTTGGTAGATCTATTGCCCCATCCTCAAATCTCAATTCTAATATGATGAACAATTCTTCACAACAATTACATGGAGTCCAGCGCTGATGCAGAATATTCAATCTTAAATGTAAATAATTTAGAAAAAATAATTATGTTTTATGGTCTTACCTTGGGTTTAAACACTCTTGTTTCAATTAAGTTAAGTACAGTGTGCCCATGGGAAATTCTGTTAGGGTTACGGCATTGATCAACACTTCAGGACTGTAAAACTTTCTTATATGTTATGTTATATTTTGTTATTTGTAGTGTTTATCAACACTGTTACAGTTTCATGCTAATGGTCGAGAAAAACTGTAAACAGAATGTTTACCCCCAGATCTACGTACGTACACTAGAGACACACAGATGCCGCAATACACAATTGTATGTCACTAATCGATCTATACATAAACCCCAGCCCGAAATTTAAAAGAGTATCGCTTAACGAAACTCCCGAGTTTCGTTTTTTGGATCTTAACATTTGTGTAGATTTTGATTTAAAAGGTTTTAAAAAAATGGGAAATATGAAAAAACTAAATAAAGTAATATTTCATAACACAAATATTGATATCCACAAAACTGCATAACCCCATCCATGAAACCTGGGTTCTAAAACTGGTTTTCATGACGATACCCTGTCTTAAGTTTTGGGCTCTGATTCCCTTTGAACCCGGTGATAGGGGGATAGAAAGTACCTGTAGAAAGATGGCTGTAGTTGTATTTAGAAACAATTTGCTCACATTGGGTTCCTTTTCCACAACCTGGTCCTCCTATAACATTAAAAGGTATATAAAATTGCAGCAATCAGAAAAAATAATATTTAAAACTGGTGTTTCTGCACCCATCAAAAATATAATATTTATTTTTGGTCACCCTGCAGCAATCAGAAATATAATTGTTTAATTTTGGTAACCCTGCAGCAATCAGAAATAAAATATTTATTTTTGGTCACCCTGTAGCAATCAGAAATATAATATTATTAATTCTGGTCCCACTGCAGCAATCAGAAATATAATATTTAATCTTGGTCCCCTTGCAGCAATCAGAAATATAATATTTAATCCTGGTCCCCAGGCAGCATTAAAAAATATTATATTTAATTATGGACCACCTGAAGCAATCAAAAGTATTATATTTAATTCTGGTCCTTCTGCAGCAATGAGAAATATAATATTTAATCCTTGTCCCCAACATCAATCAGTAATATTATTTAATCCTGGTCCCTCTGCAGCAATTGGAAATATAATATTTAATCCTGGTCCCCTTGCATCCATCCGAAATATAATATTTAATCCTTGTCCCCTACATCAATCAGTAATATTATTTAATCCTGGTCCCTCTGCAGTAAGCATAACTTAAAATTTGTATTTTGAAAAAGACCGGTATTTTAAATTCAATGAACTACGTCTATTATTCAGTGCCAAATATTAACATCAGCGTTGCTATTAAATTTCAAGAAAAAGTCCAGGATTAGTCAGGGTTACAGTTTATTACGTGGCGTAAGCTAAACTCTGAATACAAAATGAATTTGAATATTCTCACTGACTTGCAAATGCTTTGTGAATGCTTGAATGTGGGTTAAACATCTTGAGAATTTTAAACAGAAGACTCAAATATGTAAACTCACATGACTCAAAGCTTTCTTTTTTACTTACACTATTAGTACTAGTACAGTACCTAACATTAAATATTTTAAACAGAAGACTCAAATATGTAAACTCACATGAATCAAAGCTTTCTTTTTTACTTACACTATTAGTACTAGTACAGTACCTAACATTAAATATCTTAAACTGAAAACAAATATATTTGAGGTGTGATCATACATATTATATATATATGTGATCATACATATTATATATATATGTGATCATACATATTATATATATATGTGATCATACATATTATATACTGGTTTTCAAGTACCCCAGCGGGGATAGGGTTAACAACAATTAGGGACGTGGTCCCAGCAAGGGAAAACCTCCTTCCCCCCCCCTCTTCTTAGTTATTAGGTTGATACAAACTAGAAATACATTTTCATTCTTAAAAGAAACTATTTCATAGAAGAAGAAAGATTTTCAACAATATTTTTTTAAATTTTATGTTTTTGGATTGATTGATGTATTAAATGTTTCAAGGTTTAAGCCGCGCTCAATTGTAACCTGTTTTTTTGCGGATTTGAGACGCGGCTCAAAGGAATTGAATTTTTGCCACAAACTTAAATCTTCTGATTCCAATATCTTTGCAACCTTATGGTGCAAACCTTTGATATTTCAAACTTGATTATTTTATCTATAAGTATCAATAGTTTGAAATATCTAAGGTCTACGGCATTGGGAAACAAAGATATAGAGATTAGAAAATTAGAGTTTGTGGCAAAAACTCAATTCCTTTATTGAATTCGAACTCTGATCTGAAAACTTAAGAATGCTTTAGAATAATGCTTATTCTTCTCTTGTTATTAATCTCCAGGTACGTTTTCAGCTCTGAATATTCTATGGCTATGCATAACTGACCTGGTCATATCCAAGTCAGTCATGTTTGACAAAAGACGGTAATTGGTCATGACTAGGTCAGTTATGCTTGACATTAGACGGTACAAATATTTGCCTCATGTGCTAAAAAATCATGTTTCCAGAAAATGATATTATCTAACAAATTTAGGGTTTTCGGCGGAAAAAAACTTTTTAGAAAAATTGGGAAAAAATACGAAATCTTTTTTATGTCTGTCGCAAATTTTTCGAAGAATTTGTAATTTTTTTGAGAAAAAGAATTTCGCGAGTTTAAATCGGAATACTGCGAAAAAAGCTAAATTTTCGGTGAAACAAAAAGTGCGAATTTTTTACAAACGATTTTTCCATTCCGCTGGAAAACCCTACAAGTCAGAAAATCTTGCCTTATTTTTTAATGGAGATAGAAAAATTACTTACCATTCCTTAAAAGGTGTTTATGAAATGAGTGTTGTTTTATTAGATTTACTTTCTAAATTGTTTGAACACATTTAGCCAAAGATTTTACTAATTTACTAATTTTATCATCTTTTGACCAACATTACCGACCATGATTCCCCTAACATAAGGACTTTAAGTTTCTTTACGTCCCTTGGGACAATAAAGTACAATTTTATCTAACCAAAAGTTCCATAGACCTATTTTGCCAAAAAAATCCCTCTCTGCGCTAGATGTTTTGTAACCAAAATCGGTCTTGGGCCATTTTGATTCTTGATCAGATTCTTCTTCTAAAAGAGCTTTGAAAGTTACCATTTTTACATCAGACTTCGATAAATAGAGAATCAACGGTCTCTTTAATCCTACCATAAAATGACCAGTCAACGGTCCCTTTAATCCTACTTTAAAAAGAACAGTCAACGGTCCCTTTAACCCTACTGTAAAAAGACCAGTCAACAGTCCCTTTATTCATACTGTAAAACGACAAGTCAACGGTCCTTTTAATCCTACTGTAAAACGACCAGACAACGGTCCCTTTAATCCTACTGTAAAAAGACCAGTCAACGGTCCCTTTAATCCTACTTTAAAAAGACCAGTCAACAGTCTCTTTATTCCTACTGTAAAACGACCAGTCAACGGTCCCTTTAATCTTACTGTAAAAAGACCAGTCAACGGTCCCTTTAATGCTACTGTAAAAAGACCAGTCAACAGTCCCTTTAATCCTACTGTAAAAAGACCAGTCAACGGTCCCTTTAATCCTACTGTAAAACGACCAGTGAACGGTCCCTTTAATCCTACTGTAAAACGACCAGTCAACGGTCCCTTTAATCCTACTGTAAAACGACCAGTCAACGGTCCCTTTAATCCTACTGTAAAAAGGACCAGTCAACGGTCCCTTTAATCCTACTGTTAAAAGACCAGTCAACGGTCCTTTTAATCCTACTGTAAAAAGACCAGTCAACGGTCCCTTTAATCCTACTGTAAAAAGACCAGTCAAAGATCCCTTTAATCCTACTGTAAAAAGACCAGTCAAAGGTCCCTTTAATCCTATACTGTAAAACGACCAGTCAACGGTCCCATTAATCCTACTGTAAAAAAAACCAGTCAACGGTCCCTTTAATCTTATACTTTAAAACGACCAGTCAACGGTCCCTTTAATCCTATACTGTAAAACGACCAGTCAACGGTCCCTTTAATCCTACTATAAAAAAACAGTCAACGGTCCCTTTAATCCTACTGTAAAAAGACCAGTCAAAGGTCCCTTTAATCCTACTGTAAAAAAACCAGTCAAAGGTCCCTTTAATCCTATACTGTAAAACGACCAGTCAACGGTCCCTTTAAACCTAACGTAAAAAGACCAGTCAACTTCCCTTTAATCTTACTTTAAAAAGACCATTTAACGGTCCCTTTAATCCTTCTGTAAAAATACCAGTCAACAGACCCTTTATTCATACTGTAAAACGACAAGTCAACGGTCCCTTTAATCCTACTGTAAAACGACCAGACAACGGTCCCTTTAATCCTACTGTAAAAAGACTAGTCAACGGTCCCTTTAATCCTACATTAAAAAGACCAGTCAACAGTCCCTTTATTCCTACTGTAAAACAACCAGTCAACGGTCCCTTTAATCCCACTGTAAAAAGGCCAGTCAACGGTCCCTTTAATCCTACTGTAAAAAGACCAGTCAACAGTCCCTTTAATCCTGATGTAAAACGACCAGACAACGGTCCCTTTAATCTTACTGTAAAACGACCAGTCAACGGTCCCTTTAATCCTACTGTAAAAAGGCCAGTCAACGGTCCCTTTAATCCTACTGTAAAACGACAAGTCAACGGTCCCTTTAATCCTACTGTAAAACGACCAGTCAACAGTCCTTTGAATCTTATACTGTAAAACGACCAGTCAACGGTCCCTTTAATCCTACTGTAAAAAGGCCAGTCAACGGTCCCTTTAATCTTATACTGCAAAAAGACAAGTCAACAGTCGATCCCTTTAATCCTATTGTAAAACGACAAGTCAACGGTCCCTTTAATCCTACTGTAAAACGACCAGTCAATTTTGAAAAAAAAATTTAACCTTTTTCAGACATTTTTTTGGCATTTTTTCAAATCAACCTGACACCCAAACTATCACAGTCTAACATTATTTTTTCATGAGCTTGCCTTGAAAAACTAGGCTATGAACATTTTGTAACGTACCCTATACCTTTATAGGGTTATAATGTTCAGTGTTTCTGTGTATATACCTAAAATCCAAATAATTGGAAGGTTTGCTGCAGCCAGAGCACTCTTTTCAGCCATCTTTATAAGATATAGTTTTATTCCTGAAATTTGAGATGAAAAGTCTTGTCATTGTTATAAACAAGATAGATTATAGTAACATAATATGATGCAAGTTGTACTTTACATTACTTAAATAGAGAATTATGAAATATAATTTACAAATAGTTCTAATAACTATGTAGAAATGTTTATAATTTTTCAATTGTCCTATCTGATAAGAAGAATACAATGATTTTCATTTAACATTTTAAAACATTAAATGGACTAAAAATTGAGTTAAAATAATCTGTCAAAATATGTTTTCCCGCCAGAAAAATGTATTATTTTTATGTTGCATTTCTATTTTTTTAGGGGGGGGTCATTATTGTACGTACTACGTAGTGAATGGATAGCAAATATTTTTAATAAACCAAATTTTGAAAATAGCAAAACTTATCAGATTTGTTGGTACCAATTTTAAAGCCTAAAAAGTTTAAAGTCTTAAAATTTGCATATTATTTATTACAGTGAGACTTGTTAAATTGTGGAATGGGAGGACAACAATTAAGACATTATAAGTGCATATGATATTGTTAAAAAGCAAAAAGTTTTATTAATAATTTGAAATTTGACTCATTTAGTGGAATAGGTATGTAAACACAGCTGGTAAAAAAAGCAATGTTGCGCAGAATATATGTCAGATAAAACTTTAAATCTATAATTTTGTAATAATTTGTTTTCGTAGCATAAATAACTAATAAATAATAATTTACCCCTTCAATCTCTTATATACCAATTTACATAATATTGATTTCTTTAAGTCATAGACGTGTTTAGATTAACATGTTGCTTTCAAGTTCACTAATTAAGTTTTAAAAAGATTTTATTTTTAAATTTTTACCGTTCTTTTAATCCAGTTGTTTGCTCGTTATAATCCCTTAATTAAAAATGTAAGAAGAGCACTATACAACAACAACTTTTAAAATATCTAATCATCATTATTTAGAACCTTTTTAATTTTAATATTTTTTTTCTTAAAATACACATTTTTTTTCTTCTTCATACTTCAACCATATTTATGATTTTGTCAAACCCATAAGACTGTGAAATTCGAAAACGACTTTTAGATTCAAGTTTTTTTTTTAATGACAATGAACAATAAACACATAAATTCACTGAGTAAGTTGAATTTCATGCTTCTCGTGTAAAACTGTTTGATTTCTTATCAACATAAAATGGCAAACATGTCATCTTTTAATTCTACAGTTTTCTGGGTCTCACTGTATATGAATACAGTAACTAGGCTATGATAAGACTGACCCCTATGTAAATATACAGGGTAGATGATATGACCGGAAATTACCAGCGCTGCACCCACTGTCTTCTGTCAGAGGACAAGAGTGAGGGGTGGGGGAAGGCAGGTCTGAAGGAGGCCTGTTTTAATATATGTTTGTATTGTACAAGGAATGTCGCAAGGAACCACATCTTCTATTTTTACAAAAAATGAATGTAATAATATGTAAACAATATCAATGCTGTTCATGCTCAGTTTTGTTTACATTCTTCTCAGAAACGGAGTAGAGTATCATAGAGATAAAGACGGAGTAAATTGAAATAGAGAGAAGATGACGGAGTAGATTAACATAGAGAGGTACTGACGGAGTAGATTGTTAAATAGAGAGATGAAGACGGAGTAGATTGAAATAGAGAGATAATGACGGAGTAGATTGAAATAGAGAGATAATGACGGCGTAGATTGACATAGAGAGATAATGACAGAGTAGATTGACATAGAGAGAGATCATGACGTTGTAGATTGAAAAAGAGAGATAATGACGGAGTAGATTGACATAGAGAGATAATGACGGAGTAGATTGACATAGAGAGATAAAGACGGAATAGATTGACATAGAGAGATAATGACGGAGTAGATTGACATATAGAGATAAAGACGGAATAGATTGACATAGAGTATTAGAGAGATAAAGATAAAATATGGAATCGAGAGTAATGAACTCAAGGAAAGCAGAATTATTCATATTTCACATATTAAGTTATTATTGTTAATTTGGCAGTTATTTGGCTAAATATTAAATTTAATTAATTCAGATAAATTATAACGTTTTGTAAAAGATATATTTATCTTAATATTTTATCTATTTTCAGAATTTTCGCAAATTTAAATTCTTGTGGTCCGAATACAGGGGACATAAGTTACAAACTGGGTTTAGGCTAGAAAAGGGACACGAATTGAAAGCCTTTTTTTTAAATCATATAACCATGGGGAGAGGAGGGGGGGGGGAAACCTCCTCTCTTTTCTCCAAAAACCTAAAAACGACTTAAACAAGAGAGAGTTCTAAATTCATTATTTTCAAATTTTGTAATTGGGTAGGGTACACCCCAATCTAAAAGATGCATGGTCTTTGCCCTTACAACATGTACTGTATATGCATTCAGTCATTCATTACTGTCCAGACGGGCTACCCAGCCAGTGTACAGTCGACTTAACATGTTATAAGTAGGGCTGGTAATGTTCTGTTAAGGAAACGGAGGTTTTGGAAAATAAACGGAATGTTTCGTTGGCAAAAGCAACAAATTTTTAATTTCGAAATCATTAACAAAACGGCCGTTTATGAAATAAAAAGATTAACAGTTAAACACAAAAACAATTCGTATTTTTTTAAAGGGTGAATTTGTTTTTTTTCTGCTTAAAATTTCGTTGCATTTTTTTACGATGTGAAGCGTTTTTAATGCCATTAATACTGTATGAAGTAGACTAACTGTTAACAACATTTTTTCGCTGTTAATACCGATGATTCTTTAATAATTGTCGGCTTAAAAAGTTGGAACTTGCCCATTCCTAGTTTTATGCAACAAATGCAACCTTGCAAGATTACAGTGGGTAGGGTAGGGTAAAGGAAGGTCAAATGGCTGGTCGCTGGTCGGTGTTTCACAGAAATTAAAAATATTCCATATAACTTTTTTTTATGTAAGCAGCAGATCTAAAATTTACTTATTTTGTTAAGCATGACAAGGATTGCCGTGATTGCTGAATGTTATCCAAATATATTATAATCATATAATATTATATATTTTTTACTGCAGAACCTTGACTGTTTCAAGACAATGCAAGGTGTCCTATTTATTTTCCATGTTTGAATCATTATCGCGGTTTGGAAACAAAACTCACTTTAAGAATAAATTTAATGAGAATAGTCAGCAATTCAGAGCAAAACATACTGAATAAATCACTTTTAACAAATATTGTTAAGAATTTAAGATTTTACGTATTTAATTTGTGAATTTAGAGAATTATGATGATGTGTTAGAAATGGGCAAAATCACGGTTTGAAACTAATGTCCCCTGTAATACCAAAAGAATCTGCCCAAGAATTCATAACTTTTATTACGTATTGGCATATTGACAACAATCTGTAAGGAAATAGTAATTGAATGGATTTGCAAAATAATTTGCACAAATAAGCAAAAACATGGATTTATCAGATAATTGCATATTTTGCATTTCTGTTCCTTTCTATAAGCTTTTTTGACACAAAACCAAATATATGTCATTTTTGCAAACAGGTTTGCCGATAAGCAGTAAATTCATACTAAAGTTATATCATATCGTTAAGCAGTAAATTAATACTAAAGTTATATCATATCGTTAAGCAGTAAATTCATACTAAAGTTATATCATATCGTTATGATTAGCTGTACGTAGTTTTCAATCGTTTCTGAAATGGAACAAAAAAGAAAAATTGCCCAAAATGTTGGCAAATTTTATTTTGCACTTTTTTGGCCCAAATTCAAAATATTCATTCATATGACATATTAAACATTTTTGGAAAGCATCTTACCTGACCATTTAAAAAATGATAAAATAAAAAATACATTTTTGCTATGATTTAAGAAAAATATGTTTGGGAAATGTCATTAAATTTCAGCTCTCTAAGCCTTATAGTTTTAAAGCAAAATAAAAATAACCGTAGAGGGGGGAGCAATTTGACCCCCCCCCCACGGTAAGAATAGTGTTAACGTATCCCCGTGCAAACTTTATTTCATTCATCAATTGTAATTGGCGTGTAGGAAAGTTGTGACACTAAGTACCAAACATAGAACAGTAAATTTCTGAACTAAACTAATTTAAACTAAGAATTTTAAGTTAAAAAATAGTTTTATTTAAAGGCCTGACGTACATAAGTAAATCTTTGCAATATTACTAAAGCTAACCAATTATTTAACAGGCTAAAATATACAAGGCGAGTCCAAATTATACCTAGCTCGGTGTATTGCTGAAAAGTGAAAATATATGAATGATTGAACTTCTTTTGAATGTTAATTTATGACAAAAAAGGATAAAGCATTCGAATCTAAATATGATCAATTATTTGTATCTAAAAGTATTGAATGAATGTAAATATGTTATCTTTCTATCTACTTTGCTTGTATGTTTGTTTGTTTGTGTGTTTGTATCCAATAAACGTCAAACGGCTGAACCGATCCGGCCAAATTTTATTGTTGGACATCACCACACCCCAATTAAAGTTTATGAGCGATCAAAACTATGAAATATAGCCTCAAACAAAATTCAATTTTCATAAAATTTTGAAAACCCACGACATTTTGTTAAAAAATCTGCGAATTTTTTTAGGTTTTTTTTATTTACAATGTATGTTTTAAAGTGAAATAGAAGATAGACGCGAAGAAATTTGAAAAGAATTTTCGTAAAAGAACTGTTGTTGTAATTCAAAGTGATCCTCAACACAATGAGAGACTTGTCCGATACACAATGGTATCCTTTAATTTTTAAACTGATTAATGTGGAAGATATCATCGTTTTCTATGGCAGGAAAAGTATAGCTTGAAAAGTGTGTAATTCTGTTAATTTCTCTCTGAATCAAGAAATCGTAATTCCCTTTTGTAGAGAAACCTAATATGAAAATGATCAGCTCTATCTTGTTGAGAATCAGGCATACCACTCTACTTAATAGAGTCGAAATTAATCCAAGTTACAACTTCTCTCCCTTTACAGTTGTAATCTTGTAGATCATGTTTGAGAAAGTGCAGTTTAGAGAAGTGTACAGTAATTGGCTTCTAGTTCTGTCATTGTCACTCTTAACGCATAACTATTTACAGAGACCGGGCAGCTATATATAAAGTATTCATTAAATGTAGAATCGGGTCAACTTTGAAGTGATGCCACGCCTTAACAGTAGGTTTTATCGAACAATTTGAATTATACTTTTGATTCTGCTTAAACATGACACATCAAGAGTTGAGAAGATTATGTTATATTTCAATATATATTTTCAAAACTTAGTATATTAAACCAAACTGTTTTTTTTTCTTTTTTATTTCATGAATCATAAAATTGAAAAATAATCATTGGCTTTCTTTCCCTACAGGTAACAGAATATTTTTTACGCAATAAAAAATTTACCTTTCGATAAATTTTTGTTTTTTTTTTATATATAAACGTACTGTGCCCTCCCCCCCCCTCAGACCCTTCCGTCATTATTTGCCCCTTATGTTTATAATCCTATGAATTTTTAAAACCACTTTAATAAAAATAAACTTGAGATGTCTTTTGTGGATTCAAGTATTCATAATTTTGTAGATGTAGGACTAAGAGTAAAAGCATGGACATTTTGGTCTGCGTGCCATTTTTAAATACAGGATTCAATTTTTGTTTAATTTCTTTTTTAACAGTTAAATAATTTTTTAAGAAAAACAGCTCAAATACTATCTATATCTGTAATCTACTGCATTTTCTAAACCTAACAAATAGAAATGAGTTTTTACCACAAACATTGATTTAATAATCCGTATCACTATAGCTTCAGTAGAAGTGAATATTTCCATTTACTATTTAGCGCCAATTAAAGGATTCATATCTCTAATTGGATAATGAGATAGAAAAATAAATATTACCGCCATACTATTTCAATTGGTTCAGAATAGACAATAAACACATGACTGTACCCTGATTTGATCAGGAGCTAATGGAATCGGCATACAAGTGCAGTTTTCCGGCTATATCGGCGCGGCATGGAGGTATTCAAGGGTTCCCTTAAAAAATGTAAGCCAATTTTGCCCAGCAGCGTTTAGCCATCTATGGCGAACATATAATATATAATAACAATATATGAGCGAAGGATATTGAATAGATTGAAAAATGTCAGGTGTTCAAATTAAACGATTTAGGAAGTGTAATGTAATGCAATGGCCGATTTATTAGTAACTAGCTTAGGAACCAAGCTTTGCCTTCAGTTTTCTCTATACAAATAAACCCATTCAACTCAGAATATTGAAACCACGCTAACAAAGTTTCCGTAGTTCTAATGAGTTCACCAAAAATAACTTAAGGCAAATCGGTTCAGGGGTTCATGAGTTATGACCCAAACAAAGAATACTCCTTTATACATATACATAGATATTATTACAGGGGACATTTGTTCCAAAACTAACACTTGGCCCATTTCTAACACTGAGTGTTATGAATGGGCACAAATTGAAAGACTGGGTTTATGGAATCCCGGTCCATATCCAGAGTAAAAGACGAAAGTAAAAATTATAACCAACAAGAGTTTTTTTTTAAACTAAAATCTTCTGTATTAGGTATCAATCTTTGAACTTTACTTTTTTCGTAAGCACTAAAATTAAAATAAAAAAAAAGAAACTGATGAATCATTTTGATAATTATTTTATACGGTAAACATTTATTTTTGAATACATTTAAAGAAAAAAAAAATGATTTTAAAAGAATGCGTTGATATATATATAACACTAATCACTACTTACTAACTTTATAACTTTATTAGATTAACCCAAAACATGATTATTGGTTGATAATGTTTGTCTGTAGGTAAATATGACATACAATACTTTTATATTTTCATATTTTACAATATTTTCTAATATATCAAATATGAGAGACCGCAGGCGCAACCAGCCGGAAACTAAGTTTCGTTAAAATTTGAAAAATATTTGGATTCATTATACAGTTTTTGCTGCACAAATATGATAAAATTTGTCTAAAAGGATCAAAATGAAACTGGCAGGAACATCACTGTATGTATAAAATGCCTTTTTTTTGACGACGAAATGTGCACCCTTAAGAAGGTGGGTGGTGAGGATAGTAAAGGTCGGAGAGTGTTATGAATGCCAGAAACAAGCTTAAAACATGTGATTTAATGGGAATNTTTTTAAAGAGACCCCATCCCCACTCTGTGTTCATTCTATGCGCATTGTATACAATATGGGTATCGATTCCCATTAAATCACATGTTTTAAGCTTGTTTTTGGCATTCACAACACTCTCCGACCTTTACTTTCCTCACCACCCACCTTCTGAAGGGTGCACATTTCGCTGTCAAAAATAAGGCATTTTATACGTTCACGGAACATCAAGGGTATTATAAAAAAGAAGGACGACATAAAATAAAAAAAATTTAATAACATTTTATTAAAGATTTTAATTTATTTTATTCATTATAATTAACAAACTAGTATTTTATCCATTATAATTTACGAAAGGAATTTTATCCATTATAATGCAAAAGGGAATTTTATCCACTATACAAACAAGGATGTTATCTACTATAATTCACAAATGAGTATTTTATCCACTATAAATCACAAATGGGAAATTTATCCATACAATTGACAAAAAATAATTCTATCCATAAAATTCACAAAAGGGATTTTTATCCATATAATTAACAAAAGAGAATTTTATCCATCAAGACTCACAATTTTTTTGAAGTTGCAAAAAATCAAATAAAAGTTGATTTTTAAAGGGAGTGTTCGGGAAAAATGAAAGGGGTTATAGGCTTAATGCGATAAAAAAGCGCTTTTGATCGCTACTAATCTTACTTCTATCTGTTGCGTCTATAAGGAGAAAATTTTCTCATACCGAATAACATTGCGTCCATGCAAATTGAGAAAATTGCAACATACGACTTAGACCGTAAAAAAATCAATTTAATTTTAAACAAATCATTCAGATATTACAACCTATAGTCATCGATTATCTTTCGCCACATTTATGTATAGTTGATTTTTCATAATATGTTTAAATTGTTATGATCTGAGAGTTACTTGTAAAAACGTTTATTCCTGTTTCGAGGATTTTAGGTAATGAAGACGACATTTTCATATTTACCAGGAATGTTCGAAAACAAGTTGTGAGCTAAATATTATTAAAAAAAAAAAATTAGAATAGAATATTAAATATATACAAATGTGGCGAAAGATAATCGATGACTATAGGTTGTAATATCTGATTGATTTGTTTGATATTAATTTTATTTTGTTACGGTCTAAGTCGTATGTTCCAACTTGCTCAATTTGTATGGGCGCTACGCTCTTTGGAATGTGACGTCTTTATCAATTTTCTCCTTATAGACGCAACAGATAGAAGTAAGATTAGTAGCGATCAAAAGCGCTTTTTAAATCGCATTAGGCCTATAACCCCTTTCATTTTTCGCGAACAATCCCTTTAAAAGCTTTGTTACTAAATGTGTCCAAGAACCCGAATTCTACTAATTCCTCCGTCAGGGAACATTCTGAACAAAATAATTTAAAATATTATTGTTTAATTAATACATACTTTTCTAATTAAATCAAGGGATTGTCTGCGAAATATCAAGAATTTAAAATTTTTAGAGAATTCCATCATTTAAAGGGACAGTAAGCGAAATTTAAGTTGACCCTCCACGCAAAAGGAGAATTTTAATATAAATTTTTCTTGTCGGCGATAGCTAGAAAGAAAAGTTTAATATTTTTTAATTAAAGATCATCAAATAAAATGTTCCACTATTCATACAACCTTATTGTAGAAAGGTTTAAAGGGTACTGTTGTAAATCAGACTCCACGCCATTCTTCAAATGGATGAAGTTACGCGTAAAGTTCCTTTAAAGTTGTGAGACACGTTTAAAATAGCGCTAACAATGCCTTACTGCACTGTTGTACAATTGTACATGTATTTGGTTTAAAAGTAAATATATTGTATTCATTTAAAGATTAAACATTCAATATTTGCATCATAAAATAACTTAATAATTCAGTGATGTTTATGGAAGGATTTTGAATTTACTAATATCTATTTCTATTTCGGCCCAGAGTTGTAATTGTTATACAGTAGTCGGCGTTCATATAAATACAATGATGACGATTTTTCTTTTTGGCTTACAACAAGCTTTTTCTAAAATTACATGTTTACACAAGTATACAAATAGAATCTTTTAATTAACAGCTTCTCTTTGTTTCCAGGTTGATGTGTCTCCATGCTGTTTGAAAGCTTCCCAGATATCAAAATTTGAATCAAATTCGAAAGTATTCTCCATTAAATTAATATATACGACTGTAGCAAAGTATTCTCCATTGTATTGATATATATGACTATAGCAAATTATTCTCCATTGTATTAATATATACGACTGTAGCAAAGTATTCTTCATTGTATTGATATATACGACTGTAGCAAAGTATTCTCCATTGTATTGATATATACGACTGTAGCAAAGTATTCACCATTGTATTAATATATACGACTGTAGCAAAGTATTCTCCATTGTATTGATATTTACGACTGTAGCAAAGTATTCTCCATTGTATTGATATATACGACTGTAGCAAAGCCTGACTAATGCCCGGGTCCAGCTAAATAGATCGGACAAAGTTTTCTGTTGAAATTAAATAGATAAATCAATTTAGCTGTTTGCTCAAGTATCGGATCTAGTTATTTGTTTATCGCTATACAAACCAGTTCAGAAGCACAATGCCTAGAACAATAAAAAAGGGTTTTCGAAAAATGTCCGGTCCACAGCTGTCAAGGGTTGTGGAGCTGGCTTAAACTGTGTGTTTTTTTTTCTGTTACTAATGTTGTGTAACAGGAAATCTTTTTAAACTAACCTGACTCTAATATGGTTGATTTTATCTAACCTGACTCTAATCTGGTTGATTTTAACTAACCTGACTCTAATATGGTTGATTTTTCCAACATCTGCAATTTCAGAAACATCAAAGAAATGCTGGTGATGAGGACCCAGTTTCTTCCCGGGTAGTAGCACTTGCCATTCCTAATTTTAGTTTATGTTATACATATAAAGTAGTGATTTCTATTTGTCCCTTTGTCCGATCATAACTCATGAATTCCTGGCCGGTCCGACCAATTTGCCACAAATTTTAATTGGGGAACTCGGGAGAACCACGGATATTTTTATTAGCTTGGTTTTGAGAGTCAAGTTGAGTGGTTCGACTTTTAAAAGGAAATATTTTTGATATTCGTACCTCTTATCAGTTCTAGTTTTGTGGTAATTATATATTTAAGTTTTTCTTTGAAAGTTTTGTAGTTTCTACAGTTAAGATTTTTTCAACCTAGTTTTCTGAAGTTTTCTACCTGGTTTTTTTGTAGTTTTCTACCTAGTTTTCTAGTTTTCTAGTTCTCTACTTGGATTTCTAGTTTTCTACCTGAAATCCTAGTTTTCTAGTTTTCCACCTGGTTTTCCTAGTGTTCTATCTGTCTGTCTGGTTTTCTATACTCTAGTTTTCTAGTTTTCGGTTGTCTAATTTTCTAGATTTCTAGTTTTTATCTTATTTTGTAGTTTTCCAGTTTTCTACCTGGTTTTCTAGTTTTCAACCTGGTTTTCTAGTTTTCTAGTTTGCTACCTGGTTTTCTAGTTTTCTGCCTGGTTTTCTAGTTTTCTACCTGGTTTTCTAGTTTCTTTGTTTTCATGATTTCTTGTTTCTTTTATCTGTTTTTCTGGTTTCCTATACCTGTTTTTCTAGTTTTCTTGCTTTCTACCTGGTTTTCTAGTTTTTTACCTGGTTTTCTGGTTTACTAGTGTTCTGCCTGGTTTTCTAGTTTTCTAGCTGGTTTTCTGGTTTACTCGTTTTCTACCTGGTTTTCTAGTTGTCTACCTGGTTTTCTAGTTTACTAGTTTTCTACCTGGTTTTCTAGTTTTATAGTATTCTATCTGGCTTTCTAGTTTTTTACCTGGTTTTCTAGTTTACTAGTTTTCTACCTGGTTTTCAAGTTTACTAGTTTTCTACCTGGTTTTCTGGTTCACTAGTTTTCTGCCTGGTTTTCTAGTTTTCTAGTTTTCTACCTGGTTTTCTAGCTTACTAGTTTTCTACCTGGTTTTCAAGTTTTCTATTTTTCTATCTGGGTTTCTAGTTTTCTACCTGGTTTACTAGTTTTCTAGTTTTCTACCTGGTTTTATAGCTTACTAGTTTTCTACCTGGTTTTCTAGTTTTCTAGTTTTCTACCTGGTTTTCTAGTTTTCTACCTGGTTTTCTAGTTTTCTACCTGGGTTTCTAGTTTTCTACCTGGTTTTCTAGTTTTCTAGTTTTCTACCTGGGTTTCTAGTTTTCTACCTGGTTTTCTATATTATCTCTTTCCAAATTTTGTTGGACGAAACATCCATCAATGATAACACTATCAGGATAGTTTCCCTAAAGACAAAAGGTATTATAAATTGGACTTATTTTCATCTTTGAAGGGAGTGACCGGCTAGACATGGTAGTTAAGCTGAGAGTGCAGTATTGTAGAGAAAAATAATAGGAGTTATTTTATACTGATAAGACGTTTTGTCGGTGTATAATTACTGAGTAAGAGTGCAAAATTGATCTTTTAATTTCTTCCAGATTGAAAAACGTCTTATTGTTATTAAGTGAATGCTAATATACTTCTCTGTAATACTGCACTCTCATCTCGAATACCATGTCTAGCTGGTCACTACCTTTAAACCTCATGGTAAACGAGACCAAACGCTTTTGCGTATTAATGAAATTATATGTTTTCAAAAAGGTGTTGTTATAAAAAATGAAATCCCAGTAAAAAGAACTTAAATGTGACCTTGAAATGGTTTGTATCAACTTCAACACGAAGAACGTTTCCAGGAAACCCCAGTCGAAAACAGGCCCATTCATATCCAGGAACCTACCGTATCAAGAACATTAAAATTTGTAACCAAACTTTTTATGGGGGGAGGGGGCATAAACTACATAAATATACATCGTATGCATCTTGCAGTAGGTCGGATGGTTTAAATCAAGATTTTTTTTATCTTGATAAAAATAAAGAAAATAAAAGATTTCCGATGAATGCATTATTGTAAGAACTACTTTTCCCAGTTGTTATTTCTAAAAAAAGTATTGTTTTTTTTTAAATTCTATTCAATATTTAACAATATCTTTTATCTTTAAATATCAATTTTGGAAAATAAACCACTTTTCTTAAATAAATAAAAACTATTTGCATCTAATAATTAATTGCTAAAAAGATATCAGTTGAAAAAATACAAATGTAAAATTTATTTCAGAATCTTTTCATTTCAACCAAATAATTTTAAAAACAAAAATATGTTGATTATCATATTCCAAATAATTTTTAAAGACATTTGATTTGTGAGGTGAGGGGGGGGGGATATGAAAAGAATTTTTAAGCTCGAACATCAAGAGAAATTACAAGAAATTATTTTTTTTTATTAAAAATTCTGTTGATGAAAGTCTATCAAAAAAAGAATTTAAAGGGAGTGTGAGCGTAATTTCAGTTGACCCTCCATGCAAAAAGTGTAATGTCAGATCTACAATGGTTATACTCTTCTTGTTTATTTTCTTTTTAAATGACTTGCGCATTTTATGCTTATAAGAAAGAATGGATAAATTACAAGTAATAACCACTTTTTCGAGTGAGTAAAACGACGCTATTTACAACATTTTTAGCAGATCAAGATTGCAAGAGTACTGTTGTGAATCGGGCATAGCTATGTTTGCATGAAGGGTCACTTGAAATTACGCTTAGAGTCCCTTTAAACTAGATTCGTACTCTACCTGAAAAATTCCATCCTTCCCAGCTGTCAGGATACTCGGCCTTAAATAGTTTTAAAAATAAGAAAATATATATACAGGGTTACTCACAAAGGATGAGATCGCGAGGACGACTGGATACTCTAAAGATATGACGATCCCAAGGCTAAAATAAGTATTATAACTTGAATTTATTCTTTCAATGGCTTATTTAAAGATTATGAAAAGAATGAAACAACAAATTTACAGTTTCAACGAATTATGAATATGATGTAACAGTCAGTGTAACAGGGACGATTTTGAACGTCGACTTTGCGATTTACAGATCTTTAAAAAGTTTTATATGTCTCAAATGAATCCTAAAGAATTTGTCCACAACACTGCATACTCAGTTTAACTACCTTACATAGCCAGTCTGTCCCTTTAATTATGAAAAATCGTCTCTATACTCTCATCCATTGTAGGTAACCCTGTACTTATTTTGGGGTAATATTTTTCCAACCAAATTCGAAGAAAAGATTTGATTTAAAAAAAGTATTCCGGATTTTTGTTCTTTATACCAACAAATTTTTTTGCCAGTTTTTTTACTACATTTCGATATTTTTTCAAGTTAAAACATGAACACCAATTTATTCTTCATACTATTTATTTCATCCAGTATATTTGTTACCTGTCTAATTTTCGTGCTGTCTCCCAACCATCCCCCATATCCTTTCCTCTTCCAAGTCTGAACATTTAATTTGTAATATTCAGCTTATAGAAGAACTTTAATTAAACTTTACGAATTGAAACTTCTTCATCAAAAACTACTACAGTACTTAGAAACCTGAAGAAAATGAAAATTCATTCAAAGAGCTTTTTTTTGTTAAATTTTTTTTTTTTGACACTATGACTGTGACTTTTTAGAACCAAGAAACTAGTTTGATCAAATTATGAATGAAGACAATTGTTCACTAGGTGCAGGATAGCAAGGCCGGACTTGTGAAATGAAATTTTCACTTATTGTTTAATAATCTGGACCAGTCCTTACGCGGTCCTAATACGTGCCCAAACCCTATCGCCCACCCTTACATCTGATCACTTATTGTTTAATAATCTGGACCAGTCCCTACGCGGTCCTAATACGTGCCCAAACCCTATCTCCCACCCTTACATCTGATCACTTATTGTTTATTAATCTGGACCAGTCCCTACGCGGTCCTAATACGTGCCCAAACCCTATCTCCCACCCTTACATCTAATCACTTTGATGTATTAAATTTTAAAACAGATGAAAAAGTGCAATAATCATCAAAGACATTGATTGCAATAGTTAAAAGTTATTTCAAGCTAAAATAGGAATTCTGACTTCTCAGCCTTCATATTTCATATTTCACGTCACATTTTTATAAACATTCTATTTATTCTTCCTGTATTATGCAGCGGTCGGCGATTATATCAATGCAAAAAGACGACTTTTTTATTTAAGTTTTCATTGTTAACAAGCTTTTTTTCGAGTTATAAGCTTACAAGTATTTAAAGGGAACCTTTTTTGACAGCTTCTCTTTGTTTCCATGTTTTTGTGCATTCATGCTCTTTAAAAGCGTTATATAAATAAAATTAAGATTGGAATCGACATTCGTCTTCATAGTATTAATATATGCGACGATGACTGTATAGTTTCTAAAAACCTGATCATGTTACGAGGATGTCCATAGTGAGCATTACTATATCCAACACATACTCCTCCTAGTTCTGCTGCAGCTAGATCAACCAGTTCTCCAGGTGCAAGGGTACTCAAGGGGGTACACACACCATATACTCTACACAATAATAGAGGGTTAAAGGGAGTGCTTGCAAAAAATTAAAGGGGACGTAGGCTGATCCCGAATTAAATTCGATGTTGATCGCCATTAATTTTACTTTCATCTGTTGCTTTAAAGGAAGAAAATGGTTATAAACATCTTAATCCCAAGAGCTTTGTATCCATATAATTAACAGAATTATATTCTTCCATTCAGATCGTAAAGAATTCAAGTAGATTTAAAATTAATCATTCAGATATTACAACCTATAGATGTCGGATTCAATTCGATGCAATCGTATAAAATTAATATTTATAATATTTTAATTTTTTATGGTCCGAGTGTTAATTTTAAAAATATTCATTTCTGAAATTTAGGGAATCTTTTATACTTTCCAAGAAATTTTAAAATCCAGCTCCAGTTATAAAACAAGTTTTCATTCAAATATTGATTAAATAAACAAAATTTAAAGCTATTTTGAAAAACTAATTACACATCAATGCCCAGAATTGAATTTGACATTTGTAATCTCTGACTGATTAATTTTAATTCTAACTAAATTATTCATGCGCTGGGTAAAATATGTATTTTTTTTCATTGGTAAAATAAAGCAACTCTAAAAATGTGCATATAACCAAAGCTAAACTAAAATAAAAAGTGACTGGCAAGACAAAAGTCTATTCTAAAGGTGACGTCGTGGGATCGATAGTTTATGCATAATTTTCATAACTGTGTAGTTAAGATTAATTTGTTGTATACCTGAGACGAGCAATTCCTCCGTCCGGGAACATATTTAGTCGTATATGAGTGTACACTTCCTTGCTCGACACTTCGATAAATGTCCTAAACATGTATTTATGTATAGTGTAGACAACACTTCCTTACTCGACACTTCGATAAATGTCCTGAACATGTATTTATGTATGGTGTAGACAACACTTCCTTACTCGACACTTCGATAAATGTCCTAAACATGTATTTATGTATGGTGTAGACAACACTTCCTTGCTCGACACTTCAATAAATGACCTAAACAAGGATTTATGTAAAGTATAGAGTACTTCCTTACTCGACACTTCGATAAATGTCCTGAACAAGGATGTATGTAAAGTATAGGGTACTTCCTTACTCGACACTTCGATGATGTCCAATAAATGTGGAACTAACATCTACTTTTTTACTCTACAGAGGTTTGGTCCATCACCATCACAGAATTTTAAACTAAACAAGGATTTATGTAAAGTATACGGTACTTCCTTACTCGACACTTCTAAATATGTCCTAAACAAGGATGTGTGTATATTACAGGGTTCACTTCCTTACTCGACACTTCCGATATATATACGTGATAAAATCCAGATTTGGTTTTCTAAATGCCAGTGAACATTTACGTAATTGTACTCCATCAATCTTTTTGTATTTTCTTGAAACTTGGCAAAATGGTATTGATTTTGTTTCCAGATTGCATGGAATGGAAAGCGGATTGTACATTACAGTACAGTACAGTAAACAGTAAAAAGTAAACAGTAAATTTTAAAAACAGGTCTGATTTAAATAGGTTTACATTTACGTAATTATACCTGTAACGTACGGTAACCAGTAAATAAAAGACAGGTATTATTTTCTTGTGTTATTCTATACACTGTTATGATAAAGGTATTTTTCTGTCATTCTTTTTTCCCGTCAAAACATGAATTGTTTTCCTTCTTTATAAATATTTGGCTTGTCTGGTTGTTTATCTGTCTGTTTGTGTCAAAAAACGTCAAAAGAGCTGAACTTAGCATGTCTATTTTTTGTGGCAACTCATATGACCCCAGAGTAGGTTTAAGTGCCGAGAAAGATGCAAAATGTTCGAAAATTATTATTTTTTGAAAAAAAATCCGCCAATTCAAACAGGCAAAATCTCAAAAATTAGAGAACGATTAAAAATGTCGTTTATTAGAGCAACAGATAAACGCTAAAACTGTTAAAAGGGAAGCTTTTTATTATTTAAAAGCCAAGTTAGTATATAAATACAAAATAAAAATTTAAATATTAGTTTTTTTTTCTATTATAAGCTTAGTTTAAAAAAAATCAAACCAGAGTCCGAGTTTAATGAATTTTAGCTGCGTCTCAAATCTGCCTAAAACCGGTTTCAATTGAACGCCAGCTTAAATCTTAAAACATTGAATATATTTTTAAGTAGAACCAACCATATTTGATCTGCGTCTTAAATTTAAGCCGCGGCTCAAATTCTTTAAATTCGGCCTCAGTACTGAAAAGGAAAAAGGCGAATAATTGTAAAATTCTAGAAGAATTGTTTTATCTGTTTTTCTAATTTCTAAATTGTTTAACCTGGCGGTATCCTTGTATCCAGCTCCTAGGGGGGTTCTCGGAACAATTTCCTTCCAACAACCTGATTCATAAACCTCAATCTCCTTAACACAGTCAATTAGTCATTTTTTAAGATTCAAGAAAGGTATAGACCACTTTATGAAAAGCTCGTCAGACGTACAGCTTAATTTCTTAAAACTACTACAAAAGCATCGTATATGCTTAACATTTTTTAAGGTCAAAAAAATTCTCTTTATTGAATTTTCGTACAGTAGGACCCATAATGCTGTTGTGAAATAAGACGACTGATAGACTCCAGTTTTGATTTAAACAGTCTAACATGATTAACAGCAATTGTACAGTGCACACAGTCCCATTTACATTAATATGTTGAGGTGAACCTATCTTCAAATAAAATATAAATTTTAATTAGTAAGATTATAAAATAAAAAGCTTGCTAAAGTTTCCTCTTCCTATTTCACAGTTTTATGGGTAGCACTGTATGTTCCAAAGTAATGTTATTGTCATAGATAAATAACAATACATATAGAACACTATATGTCGTCTTTTCAAGATTTAAGGGTTTTTTCGTTACCCTGAGGCAGGAGTTCCGCGCACTCAGGCAGCGTTGAATTACAAGACACAGAAAGAGCAATGCGCGTAACTCCATTGAGCGAAAAAAAAATTGAAAAGACGACATCTAGTGTTCTATCTGTATTGTTATTAATGTATGGTTATTGGTAACCTTAAACTGTTCCGCAGTAGCTGCCAGTCCTGCTCTTCTATCACGTTTAAAGGTTGGCATCTCACTGTTTAATCTACTCAGTAATGGTCATTGAAATTACTACTTTATAGATAGTTCATGGTGTACCAAACAAAAATATTAATCATTTTTGATCAGATTAAGGTATCAAAGGTACCGTTGTAAATCAGGCATTACCATCTTTGCATAGCACTGCAAGTCAACATGTGCACGCTCTAACGCAAAAATCGAGCAGTATTTTGCCATTTACTCCGTTAAAAAACAAACTAGAAACAACCGCGTTGAATTTTAAAAATGTATATGTCACCGAGTGGGGTTTTTGGGGTGCATAGGTTTTTTGGGTGATTTGGCCCAAAATGAGCACTTTGTGAAAATTTTAGGACAATGACCTCCGATTCCAAATTATCTTTGTGATCCAAGTAGAAGGCCATAAAGGCTACTTGCAAAAGGTCAGCCTTTTATCTCAATTTTTAGAGCCAATGCAGCCTGTACAAAATTAGGTGTCATTAAGTGTCAAATCACCCCCAATCCTTTACAAATATCCAAATTTTTTCCTGAAACTTCTTCCACATAAGTTCATCAACTTAGAGCAAAAATGTTTTTGCATTTCAATACTAAGTGTTGACATAACCCAGAGAACCTATCCCCATAATGATTTTATTACTTTCGCATCGTGTGTCACCCTAATGTCTAGGGCTACAAAAAGTATAAGTACGTTGGTAAGGTCATATCAAAGGCCAAGGCGACACTTTTAAGTCGAGGCTGTCTAAAGTTTTGATGACTATAACTCTCAGTGATGGAAGATCACATTTAAAATAACGCTTACAGTATCTTTAAAAGAGAAAAACATGGATATCTAAACAATTACCTAGTGGCCTGAATGCTGGCTTTGGGAGTATAGTTTCCAGTGAAGAAATCAGTTCGTATTTCAACCCCAGAGATGACACCGGGTAATCCCAGCCTAAATACGATCAAAGGAATTGGGCCTTTGTCACAAACTCAGATTTTCTAAATATTGTATTTTGGAAACCAGAGGGCAGAATTTAAAGAACTTAGACCGCGTCGCTGAACCACAAAAACCGGTTCCAATTGAGCGCCGACTCAAATCTCAAAACATTGGAAACAGTTTCGAGTGGAACCAACCATGGTTGAGCCGCGTCCCAACTTTAAGACCCGGTTCAATTTCAGTCAAATTGGCCTCTGATGGTGTAAACCTTTGATATATCTAAGGTTTAAGACACTGGGTTACAAATGTATGTATTATAAAATAAGAGTTTGTGGCAATAAAACTCATTTTTGAAAAGCATTACCTGTAATCATTTCTTCCTATCGGAAATGATTACAATTATGCTTTCTAATCATAATATCTTTGTATCTTTTGCATATGTGGACCTTTGATAATAGAAAAAAAATTCTGCTAAATTAATTAGTCTAAGGTTGAAATATCAATTTATTGTAAACATAATCCATAAATACATAATATATGTAGTGTTATGTTTTAAATGTGTTTTAAATTTTAAATTCCTTTTAAGGCTTTGTAATATTTAATTTTTAAATATTTAAAGGGAGTGTTCGCGAAAAATGTAAGGAGTATGGACTTACGTCGAAAAATATTCGATAGTGATTGTTACGACTTTTATTTTCTATCTGTTGCGTCTATTAGGAGAAAATTATTAAAAGCGACTCATACTGAAGAACGTAGCGTCCGTGCAAATTCAGAAGATTGCAATATCCGATCGTGATCGTAAAAATCAATTTAATTCCAAAAAAAAACATTCAGATATTACAACCTATAATAATTGATTTTTTTTCGACGCATTCGTATATGGTTGAAATTTCATAAAATTTTTATTTTTTTATGATCTGAGATCTTTCGACGATTTTTGATAATGAAGACGACATTTTCCAGGAATTTTCGAAAATCCGGTGCCAGCCGTGAAAACAAGTTGTAAGCGAAATATCATTTTTTAAAAATATAAAAATATTATGAAATATCAACTATTTACGAATGCATCTAAAAAATCGTTGATTATAGGCTGTAATAATCTGAATCATTTGTTTGGAATTAAGTTGATTATTTTACGATCCAGGTAGAATATTGCAACTTTCTAAATTTATATGGACGCTGTTTTTCTCCTTTTTCTCCTTATGTGCGCAACAGATAGAAGTAAGATTATGTCAATTCGCAATCGAATATTTTTCGACGTACGCCTATACCCCCTTTGATTTTTTTGCCAACACTCCCTTTAATGAGCGAAAAGTTTAACAAAATGTCTTTAGAAAACTTAGCAAGCAACACTTTCAGGCAAATGTTTAAATAAGTTTTAGACCAGTGTCAAAAACTAATTTTTGTTATATGATTATATAAAACTAGAAATTCAAGGCGCTTCGCGCCCTTCTTTCTAGCCTTAGAGGGCGCTTCGCACCCATCTTCTAAATTAATTGTGAACATGTTCTCTTTGTGTATATCGTAAAACAAAACAAAAATAATTCGCGGATTTTCACAAAAAATTTCGCGGATTTTCAAAATTTTAAAAAATTTAATGACGATCGAATTTTGATGGAGACAAATATTTGAAATTTTGATGATTCATAAACCTTCCCTGGGGTCCCTAGATGTCCCACAAAAAAATTTGGGCCCGATCGATTCAGCCGTTTTGACGTTTATTGGATACAAACAGACAAACAAACAAACAGACAGACAAGCCAAATTTATATATAGATGTAAAACTCAAAAAGCTGAATAATGGGCCAACCTTTGGTAATAGCAATAATAAAAAATATTGACAATTTTTAGTAATTGGCCCACCCATTAAAAAAACTTTTAAAAATGCAGACGTTTCTAAAATTAGTTGAAATGTTTTTTTAACATTCAATTAGTTAAGTAAAATGTAATGGATCTACCCGATGATTTTTTTGAAGAATGAAAAAAAAATGCATCCATAAAAATTTTACTTGATAATACACCAGTCATGTCCAGGGATACGCTTTCTTCTAGTCTCCCAACCATCCATCCATTTACCCTAGACAAACATTAATTGTTTCAAACAGGGGGCGGAAACGTATGGGGGTGTGTCTGTACCAAAAGAGTGCAGTGTGTAAAGTTTACCGAACCGAAGGTGTGTACTGTAGGTATATACAGTACATTCGATTCTCGGTATTTTACAGTCTAGAAGAGTACATTTTTTTATTGTTAATTGTTTATTTAAAAATAAGTTTAATATCCATGTAGTATATTATTTATATATTTAAGTCAACACTATAAACCAAATTTTCATGCAAAAAATATAATTTGATTAAAGTTTACAATATATTTAGTCGTTATTCAAGCTTAATTATAATTGACATTATTGTTCTGCAACTTCCTTGACTGTAGTCATGTTGTGTGTCTGAACCAAAAGAGTGTGTGTAAAGTTTACCGAACTTTCTCATGCCAGACCAGCGCCATTTCCTTTTCCTTTATTTCTATTCCCTGGTATCAAACCATGTTTTCTGTAGTTTTCATATTCCTATATTTTTGGAGCATGATGCTGTTGACATTTAACATTATCATTTTTTACTATTTGTTCTCAATCAGGTTGCAAAGATAAACAAATAGACAATTTGATTTTACGGTGATTAAGTAGTTTCTTTCAAATTAACTCTCAAAATCAATAATGAAAAAATTGCTCAAACCGAATTACAAACGGATTTTAATAAAATAACCGATTAAATTAACATAAAATCATCCATCCTCTTTTTAAATTTTATTTTCAAATATACTGTTTTCCAGTGCCATTTTGATTTAAGTTAACCCTATTCCTGCTGGGGGGGGGTCAATTTGACCCCCCCCCCTGTAGTTTTTTTTACATAACTCGAAAAGTATTGGTCTGAGGCTGTTGAAATTTTCTGACTTTGCCTACATACCCACAGCCCTCCCTTTAGGCCTAAAACCGGGCTTTAATACTAACTGCCTGAGTCCTCAGGCACACTGCCTGAATGACTGTTTTTTCCTGTAACAAACTAAATCTTTGTTTTGACCCACTTCCACTTGTCAGATTTTGATAAAATTTAGTTTTTTGGAAAGCCTTCGACATAAGGAAACGAATTGCACAAGTTTTGCGAAAAAAAAATTGCAAATTTTTTGCAAACAACCTGTAAAGGAAATTTGCACATTTTTAGTTTTTCTTGATTAAAAATCAGGTTATTTAAAATTTTGCAAAAATTTTTGCATATTTGAAATGGCATGGTCAAGGGCTTTTCAAAAATGTATAATTTTTCATTTTTTGGACAAATTTTTTTTTGCAAACATTTTTACTATATAACTGGATTTTGCGATAAAAAATTCAGTTTTTGCAATTTTGCAAATTTTTTTGCAGATTCTAAAAGTAGAGCGCAAGAGCTTTCCACTGATGTATCATTTGTCATATTTGGACATCAAACATGGGATTTAGAGGGGGGGTCAAATTGACCCCCCCCCAGCATATCCTGGTTTTCAAGTACCCCAGCAGAGATAGGGTTAAACACAACAATTATAATTATAATAAGAAGGGGTAGTATAATTGCAGAGTGGCCATGAATTTTTCAGAAATCACCCAGAATAAAATCCACCAAGGAAAGCAATAAAATTCCCAAAAAAAGGTTTACCTGTTCAGTAAATCCTTCCTTCCAAACCGGTTCTGCGCTCGAAAGAAGATTCTCAGCATGCGCAAACCAATCATCAGTTGCAAACAGTATACTACCACCAGCCTCCTGAATTTAATTCAGTTTGTAACTTTAAACTTTAAAAAGTCCTCCTCTACACTTGTTGTGGTCTGACATATCAAACTAAAACTGTAGGTTACCAGAGTTGCCAGAGTTACCAGAGTTACCAGAGCCCGGATTTTAAGAGTTTGTATCTCGTCGCTGAGTCGACAATAACCGATTCCATTTCCAATTAAGCGCTTAAGTCTCGAAACACTTATTATAATTTCAGTTGGAACAAACTTATTCATATTTAAGCCGCGTCTAGACTGAAATATATTCGGCCTCTGTTGACTTTCAGATTCGCAGAATTAGTACTTACGCTTTAAAATAAAAGCTTCCTTGTTGCGGATATTGAGCTCAGGTGCTCAATGTTGTATTACAAATAAAATTACAATAAGAAAAGCTAACCTATCATGTATCTCACGGTTATAAATTCGGGAATAGGAAGACGACTTTTGTACTCTAGTTACGACTTTTAATAGTTATTAAATATGTTCCACAGCAATTTTGCAATGTAAACAGACCCTGAACTTGAATTAATAACTGATTAAATTAGTTCCTGGTAAACCTATTTGCTTGATAAAAACAAAAACCCTCTTCTGTATTGTTTTAATGTCGTCTTCCTATTCCACAGTTGTCTGTTTCTATAATTAAACCTGTGCTGCGAGATCGTTAAGTTCAGTCCAGGCAGGTCTTTTCCCTTCACTCTCTAGAGGTCGGTCAGCCATTATGTTTTTTGATTTTTCTGGAATCAAACGTTAAAACTTATTTTGTTACATTTTGGGATAAAGCATTGATGTCCATCTTATTCTTATACAATCTTCGATATCTTGTTATATGTATACCATACAAGGACAACATTAATTGAGGGGTCAAGCATTGATCCTCAGATTCAAAAGTGCCCAAATAAAATATCAAGAAAAAGCACTCAAGATTAACTATGTTCTGATCTCAACAATTTATCAATTTTTCGGATTATTTTCTCGACTCCAACCTTTAAAATACACAACTATCAATGTCACAGATTTTCCTGTTATTATTGGTAGATTTTCAAATCCTTGATGTAATAAATTATTTGGAGAGGAATGATTTGCAAAAATTATAAATATGAAACATTAAACATCTATATTAAATACACCAACGTTGCAAAAAAAAACGCGTCGCGGCCAGCCGTTTCAGACAATACTCTAAGAAATGTCAAATTTTCATCTTATAAAATTTTTTGCCACAAACTCTGATATTTTGAGCCTTAAATCTGTGCAACCCATGGTGTTGTAGACCTTTGATGTTTCAAACTATAACGTTCGCAAAGATATAATGATTAAAATATTTTAGTTTGTAGCAAAAACTTGATTTCTTTCGATACATTTGATAGTATACAAAGTTGTTTTATGCCCTGTGTGCCGTGTGGCCTCTTTTTAATCTATGGTGAACATATCCTGAAACCCATATATTCCCTGCTGAGCTGAGGTAAAATTTCTATTATTTTCTTATGGGGTTAAAAGTAAAATACCTCAGCTGAGTACACCTTTCAATATTTGGGATTTTCTTTAATATGTACTTTTTAAAGTTTAAACTTTATATTACATGTTATATAATTTACGTACTGTTTTTGTGTATTTATTTATTTTGATAGTGTTAACATTTAAATTCATATTTCTTTAATATTTCCAGGGCATAATATTATCTAAAACCCTACTGGTTGAAAGGGGCTCGTAAAGTATTTTCGCCAAAAACATTTCTTTTTCTCGAGGGTTCTCGAACAAGAAACGTTTTTGGCCCAAATACTTTAACCCTATTCCCGCTGGGGGGGGGGGGTCAATATATATATATGTGTGTGTGTGTGTAGACGTAGGTTAAAAAATAAAATAAAAGAAAATCCGGCATCATAACACTTCTCCCCCTTTTCCTGTGACTCCTCTCCAGATAAAACCCCAACCCCTTTTTTTACCAACATATCCTACAGTCAAAGTTTTGTCCAACTCTCAATTATTTTAAGCCTTGCAATTTCTTGACTTTCCAATCCTACCCTGTGCATACTTATGATACTGAATGGATACTGAACTAAAAAGTGCTTTCCGTATATTTAAATATATATATATTCCGCGTACAGTGTGACCAAAAAAAATTCCTCTTTGAAATTGCTTAAAAATACTTCCTATTTTTGGTCATTTTTAATTCTTAAATTAACAAATGTAAGGGACTTTATTTACTTTTATTGCGAATGTCAGAGATTTTTTTAAGAATTTTTTTGGGCCACTCTGTGCATCACTGTATTTTGATATTACATAATTTGCAAGTTCAAGTTTCTGATTAAAATTTAAAGAATAAACATTATACATTATGCAATGCTTAAAAAAACTGGAAATAAGTACATGGAATGGATTGGGGACCTGGGGAGAGGAGGGAAAGGGGGTTGGGGTAGGAGTGTATTGGAGAAGTTATAGGGAATTCGATAGTGTTTCCAAATTTTCGTTCAATCTCTTTCGTGAAAATTTCTTTCAGGCAACGAAAAGCTGACCGAAAACGTACAATTTAGAAAATTTATTCAAAACTTTTCGTTAATTTTAAAAAAAAATTTTAAGGAAAAGGTATGACAAGGGGGGATATATAAAGGAGAAGGTATGAGAAGGGGGGATATAGGGGGATATATAAAGGAAAAGGTATGACCAGGGTAGATATATAAAGGAGAAGGTATGACCAGGGGAGATATTTAAAGGAGAAGGTATGACCAGGGGAGATATATAAAGGAGAAGGTATGACCAGGGGAGATATTTAAAGGAGAAGGTATGACCAGGGGGGATATATAAAGGAGAAGGTATGACCAGGTGAGATATTTAAAGGAGAAGCTATGACAAGGGGGGATATATAAAGGAGAAGGTATGACAAGGGGGGATAAAAATAAAAAGGTATGAGAAGGGGGATATATAAAGGAGAAGGTAAGGCAAAGAGAGACATAAAGTAAAGAGAATGACGAGGGGGGATATAAAAAAGAAGGTATGACAAGGGGGGATATATAAAGAAGAAGGTATGGGAAGGATAGACATAAAGAAAAGAGAATGACAAGGGGAGGGATATAAACAAGAAGGTATGACAAGGGGGGATAAAAAAAGAAGGTATGAAAAGGGGGGATATATAAAAGAGAAGGTATGGCAAGGAGAGACATAAAGTAAAGTACAGGGGGTTATAAAAGGAAAGATACTGAAAAAACAGTACATGTTTTATTTCTTTCAAGGTGAAATTTTTAAGTACGATTACGCAGACAGTTTTGTCACAGCATAGATTTTTATCTTAAATGAGATTGTTAAGCATACGTATTACGTAGGCAATCCTTACATCATGCATGAAGTATCGCCCATTGAAATAACAATTAATATTATTCGTAATATTCTTAATAATTCTATTCAGAAAAACAATTAATATCATTTAAAATATTGTTAATAATTCTATTCAGAATAACAATTAATATCATGTAAAATATTGTTAATAATTCTTTGCAGAATAACAATTAATATCATTTAAAATATTGTTCATAATTCTATGCAGAATAACAATTAATATAATTTATAATATTGTTAATAATTCTATGGATAATAACAATTAATATTATTTAAAATATTGTCAATAATTCTATGGATAATAACAATTAATATCATTTAAAATATTGTTAATAATTCTATTCAGAATAACAATTAATATCATTTAAAATATTGTCAATAATTCTATTCAGAATAACAATTAATATCATTTTAAATATTGTTAATAATTATATTCAGAATAACAATTAATATAATTTATAATATTGTTAATAATTATGTTCAGAATAACAACTAATATCATTTAAAATATTGTTAATAAATCTATTCAGAATAACAATTAATATCATTTTAAATATTGTTAATAATTCTATGCTGAATAACAATTAATATCATTTAAAATATTGTCAATAATTCTATTCAGAATAACAATTAATATCATTTAAAATATTATTAATAATTCTATGCAGAATAACAATTAATATTATTCATAATATTGTTAATAATTCTATTCAGAATAACAATTAATATCATTTAAAATATTTTTAATAATTCTATGCAGAATAACAATTAATATTATTTAAAATATTGTTAATAATTCTATGCAGAATAACAATTAAAATTATTCATAATATTGTTAATAATTCTATTCAGAATAACAATTAATATCATTTAAAATATTGTTAATAATTCTATTCAGAATAACAATTAATATCGTTTATAATATTGTTAATAATTTTATGCAGAATAACAATTAATATCATTTCAAAATATTGTTAATAATTCTATGCAGAATAACAATCAATATCATTTAAAATATTGTAAATAATTCTATGAATAATAACAATAAATATCAGTTAAAATATTGTTAATAATTCTATGCAGAATAACAATTAATATCATTTATAATATTGTTAATAAATCTATGCAGAATAATAATTAATATCATTTAAAATATTGTTAATAATTCTATGCAGAAAAACAATTAATATCATTTATAATATTGTTAATAATTCTATGCAGAATAACAATTAATATCATTTAAAATATTGTAAATAATGCTATGCAGAATAATAATTAATATCATTTAAAATATTGTTAATAATTCTATGCAGAATAACAATTAATATCATTTAAAATATTGTTAATAATTCTATGAATAATAACAATTAATATCATTTATAATATTGTTAATAAATCTATGTATTAGAAAATTATATAACCACAAGTCACCACCATTTAATAGTTCAAATTATAATTCTGAATTGCTTTTATTTTTCTCCGCAATTAATTAATTTATGATATAACACAGTTTAGATCAAAACATGATTTTTTTTCTTGTATCCATCATACGCAATGCAAAAAATGCACTTTGCAAATAATGCATAATGAATCAAGTACAAGTCAACAAATACAAGTTTAATCTTTATATTGATGTATAACTTTTAATTCTATGTTAAAGGTAGAGACCGGCTAGATAACGTTGTAAAACCGAAAGAGCAGTAAAATAGAGACAAATTTTAGAATTCATTTGATAACAATAAGAAGTTTTTAAGTATGTTTAATTAAAGAGCGTAAATTTGTTTGTAAAATATCACCGAAATTTCCGTATAAGAAACGTTTTTCTTGCAATCAAATAAAATAACCAAGACAAAATGTGTTCAAAAATTCTATTGTAATTAAATAGTGTAAATAGGAAAAGGCTGTGAAAATAAAAATCAACTATTATTACCCAAAAAAATGTTATTCAGTCCTTTGTTTCTGTAATGTTTGATTGTTAAAACGTTTCTCGCAGATTTTCTAAATTTTCATTGTAAAAACTACCTTTGAGGAAATCTGGAAGCAATTTTATAAAGAATAAAGAATTCAGTAAAATGATTAAAAAGAAATAACTGATTCTAACATGGCATTCATTGCAATACTTTCTTTGGGAAAATATGTTCCTAAGCAAATAATTAGTTTGCAGAATTAACATTGTCATATTTTGCTGATGTCCTGGTCTGCAGTAACATCTCTTCTGGTGACATTTTACAAACAAATTTACGCTCTTCAATAGAAATTATATACCTCATAACGTTTCATCATTATAAAAGAAATCTCAAAAGTTTTTTAACATAATACTGCACTTTTGGTTCAACTACTTTACCTAGCCGGTCTCTCTCTTTAAATGCTACAGCTGGCCGTTTCAAGTCAAAACTGAACGAACAATTTAACCGATTTGATAGCTTTCTT